CCTCCCTACTGTCGCCAAGTACTTTTGCTGCACACCCAGGTATGGTGCTGCCTGCGTTGACCTCGGTGTTGGTGGGGCACTTCGTATTGGGAGACCTTCTGCCACCGTTGCTTTCCTTTCTCCCTATGCCGCCGTGGCATTTGGAGTATTGCCGCAGCATTTGGTGCAGCCATGCGGGGCTGGCCAGGGCTCCTCCCTGTAACTGGAGCCCAGCGGAAACAATCAGCTTCAGGCACTACTGTCTCCGCCTTCCTGGGCATTGTTTGAAGGCAAAGCCCATTCTTTTAAAAACGATGTCCTACTACAACAAAGTCTCCGCTGCCCAAGAGGGCAGCCCAACCCCACATGGGGAGGCAAATCTCCCGGGGCCACAGTGCAGGAACGGCCCACCCCAGAAGAACCGCCCAGCTGCCATCCCTTCCTGGCACCAGGCAGGTGCGAAGAGTTTCACCTGGGGTGCCCAGCACAGCTGACAGGTGGGCCTTCCTGCCCGGCAGCAGAGCTCCAGCCAAGGCAGCAAGCACCTCCCCGCCAGGCCCTCCGCTCATCTCACCAGGCTGGGCAGAGCTGGGAAAGTGCACGCCCACGTGCCAAGTAAAAGAGCCAGGCTGACCCAAGCTTGGCTTCCCAAGTCCCTCCAGCCCGACCCCAAAGGGCCACTGGGAGAAGCCATCTGAGGCAGTGATAGCACCCACCCATCCATGGACAGGGAGGCGAAGCGACGGCACCGCTGCTTCCCTGGCCAGCAGGTCCGGCAGGGAGAGCCCGAAGCTGCCCCTCCTTTCCACCCCTTGTCCATCCCGTCCCCATCCCTACACATCTCAAAATGCACCAGCAGCTCCAAATGCAGTGGCAATGCTCCAAACGCTGCAGTGGCATGGGCATTGGGCAGAGGCACTCACTCAGCGGGGCTCAGCTCAGAGGAGGATGTGGTGTGCGCCATTGCCTCACCTCCCTGTCTGCGGATGGGTGAGCGCTATCACTGCCTTGGGTGGCCTCTCCCAGTGGCCCCTTCGGGGTTTGGCTGGAAAGACTTGGGAAGCCAAGCTCAGGTTGGCCCAGCTCTTTCTCTCGGCAGGTGGGCACACACCCACGGCTCGCTTTCCCAACTCTGCCCAGCCCGTCCGGATCCAATGCAGCTCTGGCAGGATGAGCAGAGGGCCTGGCGGGGAGGCGCTCGCTGCCTTGACCAGAGCTCCGCTGCCAGGCAGGAGGGCCCACCTGTCAGCTGCATTGGGCACCCAAGGCAAAGCTCTTTGTGGCACCATCCCTGGTGCCAGGCAGGGATGGCGGCTGGGCGCTTCTCCTGGGGTGGGCCGTTTCTGCACTGCAGCCCCGGGAGATTTGCCTCCCCATGTGGGGTTGGGCTGCCCTCTCGGGCAGCGGAGACTTTGTTGTAGTAGGGCATCGATTTTAAAAGAATGGGCTTTGCCTTCAAACAATGCCCAGGAAGGCAGAGACAGGAGCGCCCGAAGCTAAGTGTCTCCACCAGGCACCAGTTGCAGGGAGGAGCCCTGCTCCAAATGCCACGGGAGCACGGAGAGAAGGGAAAGCAATGGTGGTGGAAGGTCTCCCTATACGAAGTGCCCCACTAATGCCGAGATCAACATCCAAGCTGTCACCGCCCACCCGCCCAAGGATGCAAGGGGGAGGGAATTAAGTCACCCTTGAAAAGACTGCCTAGCCGTTTTGGGTGGGCTCAAAAAAAAATAAAACCCAGCCTTATTATATGAGAAACACGGTACATACATACCTATACATACATACATACATACATACATACATACATACATACATACGTATATACATACGTATATACATACATATATGTTTTCTTAAGTTTTTGCAGGTAGTTACATGTATGTTATTCAGTTTTGTTTGGGTATTTTCCCACGTCATTGTAGTTGTGCTTTTAAAGTTGTAGCAATGTTTCTGCAGAATCTCATCTGCCATCATCAAGCTTCTGTATTTGTTCGTATTCAGATGAACACAATACAGAAGCCTGATGATGACAGATGAGATTCTGCCAAAACGTTGCTACAACTTTAAAAGCACAACTATAATGACGTGGGAAAATACCCGAACAAAGCTGAATAACATACATATACATACACACACACACACACACACACACAATACACACACACACTTACTTATTTAATTATAACAAAAATGTAAATGCTTAATGATAACAAAATAAAATGTTCTGGGCTGGAAGCCTCCCCCCACCTGGCACCTTCGAAAGAGATAGAAGAGCGGGAAGGTTGTGTGTGTGTGTATGTGTGTGTGTGTGAGTGTGAGTGTGTCTGAGCTGAGGGGCCTCTGAGCAACTTCTGCTGGGAGGAGCAGAGGCAGAAAGGGGGCTTTGCTCACCTTGGGGTGGCAGCATTTTTTGGCTGCCACTCCAGGGGCTTCTCAGCAGGCATCTGTCTGCAGAAGGACTGCTGCTCTTGCTGATTAATTGGGGGTGATGGGGGAGAGAGAAAGCATGCCTTGCATTATCAGGGAAGGAAAGGAGATGAAACAAAGCTCACTCTTTCACTGAGACCTACAAAACGCCAATCTACCGTGTTCCAGGAGTTCTTCGAAATCATCAAATGCTCTCATGCCTCCCGGGTCAGATCCCTTAGATGCACACTCCCACACACGGCAGCGGCAACAACAGTCCCCTCCCCCAGCACCCGCTGTCAGCTCTCCCCATTAGTTTTCTAGCTTTGAATTGCTCCCAGCTTTCTCTCTTTCCTCTCCCCCACCACCCATGTGCAGGCAGGAAAGGAAAGGGAGACAGAGCCATGCACAGCTCTCCCCTTTTCCAGCCCTTGCTGCCTCTCTCAACATCGAAGCCTCGGAAACGCAGGCAAAGCCACCACAGCGGTAGTGCCCTGAGTTGCTTGCTTCTCCACTACTGCCTCCTCCTCCTCCAGCACCACTTGCTTCTCTGGGTAGAGCGATTCTTAACTAACCAAGCATGCTAAGGCAACTCAAGATGCTACCGCTGCGGTGGCTTTGCCTGCGTCTCCGAGGCTTTGATGTTGGGAGAGGCAGCGAGGGGTCGGAGAGTGAAGAGCTGCGCATGGCTCCGTCTCCATCTCCCTTTCCTTTCCTGCCTGCATGTGGGTGGGTGGGGGGAGAGAGAGAGCCGGGAGCAATTCAAAGCTAGAGAACTAATAGGGAGAGCTAACAGTGGGCGCTGGGGGAGGGGGCTGCTGTTGGTGTGTGCATCTCAGGGACCTGAGTCCAGGGTACCTTGGAGAGCTGGGAGGTGCAAAAACTGCAAGGCTCAGATTAATTGCTTTTGGGAGCCATTTCTTCTGTGGCCCACCAAAATTCTTTCACGGCGCACCAGTTGGTGACCACTGCTCTGAACTACTCAAAATTTCTGCTACCGGTTCTCCAGAACTGGTCAGAACCTGCTGAATACCACCTCTGGTTTGCAGACACATCAAAGTACCTAAAATGTTGCATGTGGCAGTTCAAATTATTGCAAAAGGCAGGACATTTATACATTTAGAGCTTTTATTTTTTTAGTATGGAACAGAGGTGGAGATTGATATGAAGGCCCTGATCTTTTTATTATTTTTAGAAAAAAAACTTCTAGTCACATCAATGGAAAGGTTTTTCCCCATATAAATATCAAGCTTGGGATATCTGATCAGGTTTGGGGTTATAGCAGAGATCAATGATTAAAGCCTAAGAGGCAAGCTCTTGGCCCTCAAAGTGTTATATGCTTGTTCAAGAAAGCCTTAATACAAATACTTACAGAGTGGAGTGAAAGGTGTTATGTCATCATATTATAAAGTTTAAGAGACTCTGACATGTTCCCCCAACATCAGAGTTTCAGGCTCAAACAAGATATGAATAATTAAATCCTCAGATATCATGTGATTGAATTATTTGTTTATTAATTTAATTCAAAATCTAAGCAGTATGCAATAATTAAAATATAAGAAACAGCAATATAATATTAATACAGTAAAATGATAAGTAATATCTGCCCATTCATGCACTGTTCAATCACCAAAAGCTTCTTGGGAAAATGATGTCTTAAGAAGCCTCTGGGAAACCATGAGATTAGGAACAAACCATTTCAGAAGATCACCCACCAAGTATATTTGCCTCCAGACCCCCTTCTATTATTCCTCTTGATAAGTATAAATCAATCACGCCATGCTGTAGATCCGTGATGGCAAACCAATGGCACGTGTGCCCAAAGTGGCACGCAAAGTCATGTTGCCTGGCACACACGGCCTTGCCTGTTTGTCGTTTGGGTTTCTGATGCACATGTGTGCATGACAATCAGTTGTCCTTCATGCACGCAGCAGTACCAAAAACTGGTGTGCACATGCACACCGGCCAGCTAATTGTCGGGTGCGCATGTGTGCCACAATCCAGAAGTTTGGCTTTTCTGAAGCGTGGCCCCAATGAGCGCATGTTTCTGCATGACCTTTTCAGCACTCAGTGCCAAAAAGGTTCGCCATCACTGCTGTAGGTATTGTCTGATTGCCTAGAATGTATGTGCAGTATCCAGTCTGGAATAGATGATTTTATGGATAGACCAGGCCCTGAGGCCTATATGGTGATAAGAATCTCCTGAATTTTCTTGGAAATATACTTGAAGCCACTACAGCTACTGTAATAGCAGTGTCATGTGGCAGTATCACACCTGTCCAGTAACCATATGAGCTGCCATATTTTGCAATTGCCTAAAGTTTCTAGATAGAGTTGAAGAGTTATCCCATCTAGAGCAAATTCCATTAAACCAGGCAAGAAGTGAAGTGACAAGCCCAGCATCAAGCATCCTATTCTAGGAAATTCACACACACACATACACACAAATAAACCATGGCTTAAAACAATTATATTTGAAAATAAAGATATGAACTGAGTCAAAAACTAAACAAACTGTGTTATAAATTAATACAATGTATGATACCAATGCTATCATGGTGCAAATGTGTTTCTTCATTTGTGATGTGAATTTCCTTTACTTTTTCCCACAGGCTGGATGCTGCTTTGTTTGTACTGAAGTAATGTAAGTTCCTAAGTTGTATAATCGGTATGTGGCTTAGTTTCTGTCATTATTATCTGTAAACTAAGCCCTGATTCACAACAGTGTTTATTACATTATTCTGTAACAAGAGGTAAAGCAACAGTTGGCCCTCTCTCCTGCAATAGTATCATGAAATATAAAACATCCTCTTTTGCTTCAAATGGCGTAGTGAATTTTTTAATCTTTGATATAAATCCTTCAGGGATGAGATTTCAAAGGACAAAACACACCTTGTGGCATTCATGACAAACACATAAGAAGGAAGCCAGTTCTATTCATTTATAAATGAAGGTACAATATTTTTCTTCATCTGCTCTTTTTGTCTTTTGCATGTGGATTCTAATGTTATCTCTTGTTTGTGGTTTGATGTTTAAAATTTAATCACTGAAACATAAAATATTTAGATAATATCAGAAATCAGAAATCAGTCAGAAATCAGAAGATAAGAAAGCAGAACTTTTGTTAAAGGAGGTAACAATTGGTTGGCTGATTATGTGCCATGTCTTAGTGACCATATGGATAGGCCTTTTACAGAATGATCCTCCCCAAACTGGTCCTTTAGATCTTTCAAAAGTGAACCCACCTCCATTCATCTTGCTGCTGGTTGTCTTCTTTTTCCTTCCATCTTAGAATTATAGACTTCTCCAGAAAGCTCGGTCTTTCCATAATGCATCTAAAGTATGTTACTTTGAGTTTAGGCATTTCTGCCTCAAGTGAGAGCTCTAGATAATTTGTTGTATGATCCTTTGATTTAAATTCTGCTATCCATGATATTCTCAGGAGTCTTCGCCAACAACTAAGTTCAAAAGCATGAATACATCTTCTGCATTTCTTCAGAGTTCACCTTTTGCTTTCAAAGAGTGTTACACAGAAAACTTTTGCCTGCATGTTTCTGATCTTTAGAGGTATAGACACATTATAGCATCTGAATATCTTTTCCAAGGCCTTAGTTTGTATTCTAGCATGTGCTAGTCAGCTGCATATTTCCTGACTACTGATTCCTTTGTTGTTGGTACTTTACCCTAAAAATCAGAAGCTATCCCACATTTCTATATCTTCATTTTCAAAGGCTGGTTGTTCTACCATGGCATTGGCATTCTTTCTATTTAATCTTAGTTTTATGTTTGTTTGTTTGTTACTGTGCTTCTTGGTTTTCAGAATTAAAGATTCCAGATCATTTGCGTTTTCAACTATCAAAGAAATGTCACCAAGGTAGTGTTATTGATGTTTCTTTCCCCAATTTTAAAACCTGCTCATCTTCCAATCATGCTCATCCTCCTTTCATATATATTCAGCAAATGGGTAGAATATTCAGCCTTGTTTTACTCTTTTGCCAATATGGAGCTAGTCTGTTTTGCCATGTTTTGTTCAGACCTTTCTGTCCTGTGTATTGTTTTTATATAAGGACAATGAGATGTTCTGGGATTTCCATTTTTCTAAGGACATTCCATACCTAGATATAATCAACACAATCAAAGACTTTCTATAATCACAATTAAAACAATATGAAAGCTAGCTGAAAGGCTTTGTTATTTATTTACTTATATCCTGTTGAATAATGAAGGCAGGATATAAGTAAATAAATAACAAAATTGATAGGCTTTCTATAATCAATGAAATATACATTAAGCTCTTTTTGACATTCAAGTTGTCAACAATATGTAATGAAGTTGTTTAATATCAAAAGGATTGTGCGAGATGGATTTCTCACATGCTGGTGACAGAAAGCAGTTTTTGACAAGTTTCAAGAATTGAAATTGTGACAACCAACAAATGTCAGCTCATCATTATGAGCTAGAAACAGTCTCTGGACTGACAGAATTATACTGAGGGGGAGGGAATTCAAAATTCAGGCTTCAGCAAGAAAACTCTTAGTAACATTCTGAGGGGATATGGATTAGAATTCTTTTATGATGCATTATTCACATGGGTTTCCTTGAACCTGGCACTATTACCAGCTCAGAGTGTTACAATGCAATATTCAAAACTTTGAAACAACGAGTAAAGTTTGGAAGCCTAAAAAGGAAATGTTGATGCAACATGACAATACTAGAGCTATGCCACATGACCACCCAAGAGACAGTCACAGTCGTAAAATTGGGTCTCACCATTTCATTTCATCAACCATACAGACAAGGCTTGATACCATGAAACTCTCTTTCCAAAATTGAAGGAATACTTTTATAAGCATTTATTTGATTTAATGAAGGGATGGGAAGGACTGTTAGGACCTGGTTGAAGATACAAAAGTGATGAGTTCTTTTAAGAAAGCTTTAAAAGTATTGGAAAAAATATATAGTAAAAGGTGATGGTTATGAGAAGTAAATGCAGCGTTCATTTCATTTTATTGTTTTGTTTATTAAAATATCTGTATCTGAACTATAATTATTGAGGTGGAAGTATTCCCTTTCATTCAAGCTGTATAATAAATTAATAAAAATAACAAAATGAAATGTGTTTCAGAAGCACAAAGAATTCCAATGTATATATTGCAGTATATATAAAAGAAGAAAATTGAGGGAAAGGAAGAAAGTAGAACGTACTAAGAAAAATCACATTATTATTAAAATGTGAATTCAATGACAAATTTGGTTTATTTATTGTTTATTATTAGTTTTTCATTTCAATCCATCCTCTAAGAATAAAATATAAAAAACAAAGGATATCCCTTCAGTTTTCCTCACAACCAAAATCTGTGAAGTAGTATGATTGGACAGTGGCTTATCTAAAATTACCAAGTTTGAACTAGACTGTTGATTTTACTTCAAATATATCTTCTAAAAATCCAACTGATTCAGATACTTTTAAAACTCTTAAAACACATATGCATAATGGTAAAATTTAAATTTTTGCATTGTGTTCTGTATCCAGTGGAACTTAAAGCTAGATCTCCTTTTTCATTGGGCCACAGTTTAACTATCATGCTACACTGCCTTCCAGACTTACCAACATTTGTAAATGTCTTTATAATTAGAACCCAAAAAAACCCTCTTAAAATATATGGATGTGAAAGAAAGCAAAGCTTATTGATTTGGCCATCCATGAAGAAATCTCAAGAGCATGGCTCTTTAGATTCAAATCCCTGTGCGCTCAGCTATATATTTGGTATGTGCTCTCATTATTCTGGCAAGTTGCTTCTGCTTTAACCTTTACATGGCAAGGAATACATTATGAGGAAAGACCATACTTACCTGCTAGAAGGACAAGCTTTCTCCCAAATAATTGGAAGTGCATGGAGCTTTTGACATTGGCTGATAAGAAGACAAAGGAATGAAGAAGATGTACACGTGGCTGAAAACTTCACTGCAGCAAACCAGGGATGCTTTCAAGATCAGTTTAAAGGATGGTCATTGCTTGTGCAGGGCTGTTTTCCTACTGAATGTAACCTTTCTTCTAATGCCTAAGCAGAACTCTTCTTTCTTAACCTGATCCTTTCTTCTTTCCCTTTCCTTTTTCCAGAGCACTCACCTCATTCCCCATCACCCCATTACTGGGTGTGAGATTGACTGAAGAATGCTAACTGTATAAGATGAATTAATTTTGTAAATCCTATATGTTATTCTATGGACACTTTCATTAATAGTTATGTGCAAAATACCGCAAATTTATGCTTACTCTGCACATGTATTTGTGATTTTTGGCAAGAATATATGTATTCATTATCATGTGTAGGTCTGCTGTTACATATAAGTGAGCATGACAGAAATCTTCACATATATATTTCTCTGCCTACTCATCCTTTTTTGGAAAGATTGCATCAGGATCAGTTCCAGTAAACTTATATCATCCTATAGGAAGGGTAAAAGTGCAAATGTTGTTAAACCCTCCTCCCCCTCAAGAAAAAACAGCTAAAATTCAGCTTTTAGTTTTGAGTGGACATATTTTGGCAACATGGAAATAGAAATGATTAATTTCCTTCCACTATAATGCAAAAGACTCACAAAAAAAGAACATAATGGAGATGTATTCAACATGACAGACAACATGAAACTTTGTGTAGGTAGTCAATACGTATTAAAATATCACTGTTCTATTCTATGTGTTAGGAAGGGAACTGGAACAACTCTACATTTTCTTTTTAGTGGTAATCAAAGAAATGTAAGAGTTTAACAGACAAAAGACAGGAAAGTCTAGAAAGGGAGAAATCTGAATCTCTATCACTTTTACAGGTTAAAAAAAAGCCCCAGATCATTGCTATAATTGTATTGGAAGGCAAATTGGCACTACATAAGACGGGGGGGGGGGGGGGGAGGTAATGCCAGTTAACTGAAGAACATTTAGTTCTAAAGTTTTCAAATATTATAGTAAGAATATTGAAATCTTTTTAATGTAAAATTTGTTTGTGTTTGTGTTTGTTTATTTGTTTAATAAAAAAAACTTTTAAAAAAAGAATATTGAAATCTTAAACAGCAGGTGTATGCACAACTTTCCATGGATCTAACGATGAACCAGGTCGTAGTGCCATACTGAAAACTCCAGAAATGGGCAGGAACAGATCCTATCTTAGGTATTTAAAGAGAGCTTATCTGGACAATGTTTGATTTTGCTCTGAATAAAGGAGTCAGCTTCATGTCCTAGCTATGACTGAGAAAAAAAGCATTGAGTGAAAAACTAATCTGACAACTGTAACTAATACTCAGCAGGCCTGAAATGTAGTCTTGAAAGAACTTTCAGAAAATAACCTGATGCTGCTATAGCTGAAAATATAGTGTAATGGCAGCTTATATTATCTATTTAGTCTATATAACCAAAGAAATAAATACTAATTCAAGGGCAAATGGCCAAAGTAGTATGGGAAGGTCTGTGATATTTTGTTGTCTTCAGTAGGAGACATGACAATATGCCATCCTTCATTCTATATATAAAAGGAGTTCCGAGTGATAACTGAATCATTATTCAACATCCTTCCTGACACTGAAGACAGCAGGCTAGGTTAGGAGATGCAAGATAAGCATACATCCAGCAATGAACTTCAACATTTGGAGAGCATGTGCAGGATAATGGGATGAATACAGATGGTAGTGGGACTCAGGAGATTAAAAAACACACACCCTTAGCAGAATGATGTTATAACATCTCATCAGAGGTAACTTACTCGGCATAACAGCAGAGCTGGATCGGTTGAAGTGCCCTGGAAGGAGAAAGCAGGTCCCTGAAAGCAACTATGTGGCTACACAGTTACCAGAGCAGTTGTTGGCAGAATGGAATGGAAGTCTCTTAGTTAAATCAGGACAAAATTGGCATGGTAAAGCCAAATGTTTGACCCTGACCAGCTTAAGCCAGCATGGTGTCAGATTTTAGATGGTTGCACTTATATTGGGTTTGTGGAGTCTGAATGCTTAGCTACTTAAATCTGTCTAACATCTAAGTGTGATCCTAAACAAGATGAGAAGCCACATTGGCAGATTTACACATTGGCAGGGCCCTTAAGAATGTTAAATCCATATTTAAAAATAGACAACCTGACAGTGGCAGTGTTGCATTTTACCACATAGCGCATAAACACATACATCAAGTGTTGTCAAGTATGGATTTAGTGTTCTCAGGGCTGCTGGCCAGGCAAAGTGAATAATTCTGACCTTTTTCCTTCTGAAGCCTGTTTATCATCACACCAATCTTTTCCCCTTTAATTTCCATTACCAATATGAAAATGTAGCTAAAGATAAAGCTGAAATCTTTAGATATTATCTTACTTTCTCAGTTTTTTTAACTGCTTTATATTTAGCATCATGTCCATTACTACAATTTAAACTGTAAACCTTCTTGATGCATTGCAAGAAAGACAACACATCAGCATGTAGTCAAAATAAATAATGAACTCCTTCCTTGTATAAATGTTCTATGAATTATTGCATTACATATTCAAATTATATGTTTATGCTCACAATTCAGAAAGAATTTTTTAAACCTTTAGATACTCTGCTTAAATTAAATCAAAAAGAGTATCTTATCCTCAGTGTTGTAAATTATTCAGTACTTCAAAATTTAGTGTATGTAGCCAGGTTTTGGAGAATTTTGGACTAATCAAATAGGCTGAGGAAAGAGGACAGTTCTATTATTACAAATCCTCTGCAAGATACTAAACTGATCGGTAAGGATAGCAAGAAGCAAATCGTGCAACCCATTTTAATGGATATAGCCAAAGAGAATTTATTGAGTACAAAAAAAAAAGAAGATTCACAGTTTGATGGTACCTTTGATTAAAGTAGGCGATGGAGCAGACAAGTGAAAGTTTTAAAGTTATGCCATTTCTAGAGAGTTTTACATTTATATGATACAAAAAGTGTAGCAAAAGTATTTCTGAATTACAGTATTTGTTGCATTGGTGAATACCCAAATGGTAATGTAAAAGTATGCACACATGCATGCAAATGCATAAAATAAAAAGAAAATACTAGTGCTCAATACATTAAGCACAATATAATAATAAGTATCTTGAACCTAAAGCAGTGAGAAGTATTACTTATTAAATCACAGGAAGAAACCTGATAAAAATGAAGTGTGTCTATAGAGAGAGCAAAGCTGTCAGATGTCTTCAAAATAATCTTAATCTCTGGAGAAGCATCAAGGGAAGTCATCCTGTGATGGGATTCAAATTTTTTTACTACCAGTTCTGCGGCCGTGGCTTGGTGGGTATGGCAGGGAAAGGATACTGTAAAATCTCCAGTCAGAGGTGCTATTTGCCGGTTCTCCAAACTACTCAAAATTTCCAGTACCGGTTCTCCAGAACTGGTCAGAACCTGCTGAGTTCAGGTTCCACCTCTGAAGTCAGCATACCCTATGTTCTATCTTCTGACAATACTCCAGGCTACGATTTTCCAATTGAATAGCTTTGGCCAGGCTTTGTGCCTTGAATCTGGACTAAGATTTTATCCTTCATTTAAAAATGAAACAGAGAGCAACTCAAATTTTAACTAGTGAAGTTGGAGTTATCCTTTTCTGAAATTAATAGATTTTTTTTTATCAAATTCGTCGGCTGCTTTACTGTCATGAAAGAACCTTCCAGGGAATATAAAATACACAGCTTTTTCTTTAACCCAAGATTTCTAAAGTCTTTTTTAAAAAAAGATTTTAAAAATCATTATTAAAAAAAAACAGCTGAATTTGCAAGCATTCAAAGAAATGCTTTAAGTGTAAAATAAATTGAGAGTCTAAATGCTTAGTAAAAGTGGAAAGCCAATAGCAAGGAAATGATGGCAATTAGAAACAAAGTAAAGCAAACAAAAGAAGACAGGTAGTGCAGCTTACTGTCAACAATACCAAAGGGAAGTTACCAGGTCATCCTGGGCTATGGTGTTCACTGGTTTGGAAGTGTATTTTTGATCAGAATAGAGTTAGCATTAGTTTGAAACTATGGATTTTTCCTCTAAATTCAGAAGGCAATTAGGAAAGAATTCAAAGACTTAGTAAATAGTTGTGCTGCTGTCTGCAAAACTGAAATCTGGGGAGAGGTGGCAATATTCTTTCTGTAGTCTTAATAGCCAGTGGCATGGCTGGGTTAAGGTTCAGTTCATCAATTGATGTCAAGCCCATGTAACCAATTGCATGAAAACTGAATTAGAGGGGAAATTAAATAAGAAGAGAAGCAACAGAAATGCATGGCATATCAAGAGATGATTTAAGAGAATCAACCAGCCCAAAAGAGAAAAAGACTCCAGTACTTATCCATCAGTAATCAGCACTTAGATCAGCATATATTAACTTCAAGGTCAATTTCAGACCAACGATCAAGTAAGCAATCCCCCAGTCAAGAAACTGACAAATAGCCATCAGTAAACAACACAACCAAAGAATCTCTAAGACCATCCCCACCCACATAGACAGGCAAGATACCAAACTATAAGCTGACAGCAAACAGCACTCCTTACTAGCACTGATGATGTTACCTAGTTAGGGTAATGAAACGTCTATGAGAAATCAAGCATGCTCAGAAAGCACCAAGGACCACTCTGATTTAAGAGAATGAAATTCTGAATCAGAAAGAAGAAAACCTTCATAAAAAGATATTGGAATTGTAATAATGTTCTTCCTGCACCAACTTGGAAAGCTGAAATTGCCCAAAGAGCTGCTGATGCAGTTCAATAGAGGAACTAATGAGCCTGTGATTTGTACTTCTATAACTGTCTAGTTTGGTATAGCAATCAATCAGGACAAACACAGACTTCAATGAATAGATAGGACTGCAGAAAAAACAATTGCAACCAGCCTCCTTTCCATTTAAGTCTTTTATGCTACACAAGCCAGAAATAGGGCTGAGAAAATATCTACAAACCCCTCACATCTTGGACATAAACTGTTTCAATTCCTCCTTTCAGAACACTGCTAGACAGCATTACATGCCAAAACAACTAAACACAAAAACAACTTTTGCCCTCATGCCATCACTCTGCTGAACACCAAATTCCCACAGTGCTGTCTTACACCTAAAGATTTATCCCATGTAGTAAGGCTATGTTGTATTGTCCTTTATTATATTGTATTGTCCTTTATGTAGTAAGGCTGTATTGTATTGTTTTTCCTCTTACCTTCTCCTATTGGTATCTTATGATTTATCACTTTATTGTTTATCTTATGATTTATGATTGTATCTTACGATTTAAGATTCATCACTTTATTGTTTGTATGTACATTGAGAGCTTATGCATCAAAGGCAAATTCCTTGTGTGTCCAAACCCACTTGGCCAATAAAGAATATTCTATTCTAATAGCAGGAGAAGTAGGAAATGCTGGCATGGAGACAGCAATCTGAGCCAGAATCCTGAGGAAACGCTGCAGACAATTCTGCGAAGAAGAAAAGAAAAAAGAGAATTATTTTGGTTTTCATTCCAAGCATTTGATGTGAATCCAATCTTTACAAATAAAGTATTGGTGAGAATAAGCATTCCAAAGAATAGAGATCAGAAGGAAACAATATGACTTTTGGAGAAGGAATTTTTCAGAACGTTTCAGAATTAGAAAACAGAAATCAGGGATTTGGAGATGGATTCAACAACAACAACAAAAAGAGGTGGTATTTTAAAAATGGGAAATATCACTGTTTCTCTTTTCCAAAAATCCTACTTTCTTTCCAAACCATTTCTGCACCTATTGAGATTCTATTCTAGATGTCTATGGATGAGCCCTGAATTTTGTGTGAGACAGTGTAACACAGGGCAGACTCTGGGACTTGAACCTCTCTTTCTTTTCTTTTTTAACCATCTTGTCTGGTGAAGATGTCTCCTCAACCTGAATGCTTTATTAGC